CATGCCTCCATAAGCTCTAACACTTAACCACTTGTTTTTCCTTTCTACTTACTATTTGCCATGGTTTTTGTTTAAAAAAAAGTCTTTTGAAGCTGCTTGAGATGCAAAAGAGCAACAGCAATGTGGTGGTTCACCCTGATTTAGGGAAGTTTGGCCCATTAACAGCTGAGACAGTCAGGGCAAGGCAGGTGCAAGTTCTTTGCCTGATATGAAAACAATTAGTGCAGCCAGTGTTGGTTGTTTGCACACAAACAGCCCTGTATATTGAAAAAAATCCACCTGTTCAAATATTTAATTTAAAACAATCTTGCCTATTGCCATAGATGGTTCTAAATATTTATATTTTTCAGTAGCCAGGTGGGTGGAGAGTCAAACAGAGAACAGACAAGTTAAAAAAATCAAGTAACAAAAAAACCCCCAAAACAACCTGGGAGAAAAAAACAGTTGAACTGTAACAGCAGCTTAGCACGTTTAGAAACTAAACTGTTAAACTGTTAGTTTTCAAAATGCCTTGTAAATATATTGCCCCTTCACAGAATGGTTCAAAAAGCAAACTACGGTTCAAAACAGACTATGGTGTGAAATCCTAAGAAATTGCTGTTATTTTTAAGTAATTCAACCAACAAAAGCAAGTTCTGTTTATCACACATAAGGTCCAATGCTATGATGCAATGTTTTGCTTGTTATTTTTTCAACTAAAATCAACTAGAGAAAACAAACAGGTAAAATTTAACACTCACATTCTATTTGATACTGCTTGTGTTGGATATTAATTATGTCCATGATCAAATCCAGACAGCAATTTAATCTGAATACTAGATTCATCTTTACAGAAGTAATTCTAATTTCAGCAGAAATGATTTTAAAATCATTTTCAATTAGATCTTTGCTCTTTTCCCTGACGACCTGAATTGTAATGTTTTCCAAGTTCTTTGAGGTTTCATTTTAGTATTCTCTGCCAAAGCAACCACAGTCTCAGGATCAAAAAACACATTTTCAGTAGTTATGCCCTAAATAGTTTAATACATTAAATAGTTTAATAATGTACACTGCAGAGGTCAGATATTTCAGGATAACTTCAAATTCTGCATATCCTCATACACGGAGAGGTATTTAATGAAATAAAGCCTGTACTGTGTGCAGGAGCCACCCCAACACCCACATCATGTGTTTGCTCAGAGCAGGCAGGTGGCAATAATTCGAATGAAGATAAGCTGAGGTGACAAAGAAAGGAGAGCACATCAGTCACTGCTTGTCACTTGGACCATGAGGACATCTCAGAAGATGGACTGATAGCACTGTATCATTCCATATTAGATTCATTTTTCTCTCCCTCATTTCCTCACAACGGAAGGTTGGCACAATAACATTGAGTTTTTTAATACAAGTGAATTTTTGATAAATATTCAGTAACTGTGTGCCCAGGACAAATCACAGATTGCACACTGTACATCCAATACTGCTGGGATTTACAAAAAGTAGGTCACAGGAGAGCAGTAGGCACCAGCACCCCTGGATAAGAGAGGGGTGACTGCAGATCCACTGATAAGATTTGTTTTAGCAACAAGAACGTGAACTGGGTACATAGAGTCTGTTTAGCAGAGTTTACAAACAGGAGATAAGGAAAAAAGGGCAAGAAGAGAATGAAGGATCCAAGATGGCACAATGAAGGATCCAAGATATAATAAATATGTATAATAAAGAGTGCATCTGTGCATCTTGCAGCTCCATATATACACACAGAAATGTTTCTCTTAATATGTATATCGTTTTAGATCAATATAAATATTTTATTAATATGATTTGTATAATTTGTGTATTTACACATTTTAAATATTTATAAAGAAAAATATATTTCTCCATCTTGAGAAATAAGTAGAGACACTGTAGTTGAACTCTTCAAGAGGTAACAGCAAGTTAGCCCCCAAGCAGCTGCCTTTGCCATCAAGGCTATGGCACTGCTGAGTTATCAGCAAGAAGTAAAAGCCTAATAAACCCAAATTTTGACACCTTGAAAGTTCTCACAAGAACAGGTGAGAAGAACATCACTCCCCTCTCTCTGCTTGCCACCTACAAGCAAATGAAAGAACTCAAGTTGCCAACTGGTTTACAGGTATATAATTCTTGAAGTCAGTTTTATTTTGATAAGGTTTTATAATCAAACTGTTCAAATGTGGTTTTCCCTTAAAAAACAACAACAACCAAAACAAACAAACAAAAAAAAAAAAACCCCAACAAAACAAAATGAAACCTTGGCTTTGGCCAACCAGGAAAACAAACTGCATGAGAAAAAAAGAAAGAAAAAATTTTCGCAGCTACTCTTGCTGAGGCTGCAGCAACTACAACTTGAGGCACAGGACAGCAGGATGAGGTGTTCTCAGACACAGGATGGCAAACAGGGGATTGGCCAGATACTAAAACCCTTTAGGCACCACCTATGCACATATATAATTGAGTTTGGCTTCCACAAAATAAATGGAGGTCAAGAGAATCACAGCTGAGAGATTTTTTCCTCACCTTTCATCCCAGACTTCAAAAACTTCCTGTTAAATCCAGACAGCTACTGGAAATGGCTGATTTTCAACAAGATGCATTTAGTTTAAAATCTTTTGACCACCATTAGAGCAAAAAAAAGCTGCTGCAGTCATTAATGTGACACACTGGAAGCTGCACCACCCATTTCATACTTCTTCCTCTTCCTTCAGATAGAAGGGCCTGGAGTACATCACCTCTTTGCTTTTTCATCCCCCAGTAAAATTTTATAGCCCACATAATACCTTGTGTTAATTGGCAATGCAGAAACACCCCACAAAGAGTAGATTAGGTTTGTGAAATTCAATATATGCAAAAGCTTTTTATTTGCCACTTCGTGATCCTTCCCTTGGAATGACAAAAAGGGGCAAGGAACAAGAGGGAGATGCTGAAAGCCGTTCCTGCCATGCACGTGCTTTCCTGCTGGACACCTCTTGGCCCCCCCATGCCCAAAGTGCTTCATGCTGGGCTGAGAGTGGAGGCTTGGGGCTAATTTAGGAGGGGATCACTCATTACACTCTCCCTCACACTACAGAGCTGTATAGAAATCACAGTAGAAAAGATAGGATGTTTTCATATCCCTTGGGACCAACAGAGCCATCTCCTGCAGCAGCAGACACTGGAATAGGAATTCCAGTACCTGCAGCTCTACATTATTAGTGAGTCATTTCAAAGACTAGAAATAGAAACCTTTTACTTTTAAGTGCTCTTATTCAAAATTAAACCAATAATTTCTTCCATAGCACATGATAGTTTTGTTTCATCAGTGTGTGCACTCCATCTATTGCCTTTCAATCAATCGTTCAAAAATATTTTATGGGGAAGAAACAAAAAAAAAAAAGGGGGGGAGAGATGCAATGTTTATCTTCCTAAACAATATTTAGTCAAGAAGCTGATGTGTCAATGGTAGGAGGCCAACGAGTGTGAGAACACCTGGGAGCACTCAAGGCAAGGGAAGAGCCAAAGAGGGAGCCCAGTGAAGGTGCCTTATTGAAACAAGTCTCACAATGCAAGAAGCACTTGGATTAATGGATTTCAGCATATTTATAAAGATTTCTGCTGTCTCTCTGAATCAAAGCAGCGTGCTGATAAAATCCGAGGAGCATCCTGGAAGGACTCCCAGGGGGCACCTTCCTTTGCAGGTGTGCAATCCCTGCAGCACCGTCTTCAGCGGTTTCATCCCTCAGGTTCTGGCAAGGAAGCTCCTGGAAGCTCCAGCGGTGGCTGGAGGATTTGCAGCCAGACAGGCGAGCGGCGGCAGCCGGGGGG